GGCTAATGGTAACCATCAAGACGCCTGCCATTTGATATAAATAAATAAATAAATACAACGCTGACGTGCTGGACATATACGGCCTGAGGTGGCAGAATGATAAGGATAATGCAATTCATGAAAGACTAAAAATTAACAATAGCTGGCATTTTAAATTTCTTTTAAGAGCCCAGTAAGATCTACATTAAATACGACTATAATTCCTTGGAAAGCGTAAAGTTTCTGGAGGAGAGGGGAAGAGGAGGAAGGCGATAACAGTTCCATTGTTGTGGTAATTGCCAACTGAACCAAAAGAAGGTCACCAACAGCAACATGCACGTCAATGACCCATAGAACAAAATGTTTACAAATTTGCAATATGCAACTTGATTGCCAATTTGGCCTTCATTAGGTGGGAAGAAATTTGATAATCTAAATTCTTATCCGAATCCTTGAACTTTTTGAATGACGCTTGGCATTCATACGCATCTCTATATTGAATTGCAATTAAATGAGAGAGCCTTTTTGATGTATATTCTAAAAGTTAATTAATGGGATAGGAGTCAAATCGAGAACTATTATTATTACTTATATCTAGCAAGTAGACTATTCTTCAAAAAAGGAGCAATGCCGTGTTATATGCAGCCGTTTCGATAATCGGATCGCGTCAATTTATTTATTTATATCAAATGGCAGGCGTTTTGAAAGTCATCATTAGCCCTGGAGCTGACTTCAGGGCTTCACAGAAAGGAGACGGAGCATAAAAGTGACAAAAAGTCGAGATGGGAGACAGAATAATGATTCACGGAGGTAAAAGAGACGGAAAGACGGACACAAGACATAAAAAAGGTGAGGGGAGTATTGTGAAAGGGGTCGGGCCATAGAAGTTTGAAGTCAGAAGTCAACTGCCGGTTAATAGAATTTTTGCCGCATAAGTATACGTTGCCCAGGGTTCATCACGTGGCATAAGTATACGTTGCCCAGGGTTCATCACGTGGAGGTAAATATAATGCGCACCTCCGAATCGCATCAAAGAGCAAATGTGGTCACATGTGCAAAGACCTCTTGACCAATCAATAATCATCATAGGGTCAGCATATTTAATGCTGAGGCTCTTTATCAATCTCCTCCAAAAAAACTCAACTCACGCGCAACCCAGAAAAAACGTTTTTACGTTTCACGTCTGTTAACCCTATATCGTTGTATCAGAGAAGTTAATTCCAGGAGCTATTCCAAGCGGGGAGACCATGTCTTAGAGATTACTGAGGGTAAGTCAACAATTATTCATGTAGCGATCCAGTGCAAATTAACTATATTAAGCAAAATTTAATTATTTGGATAAGTAGTACTATGGGAACGTCATCGTTTAGAGCGTTATCGCATGTACGCAAGACAGGGTCAGGAGATGAGGGCGTACAACCCCGTGTACAACCAGTGGCCAATCAGAAGCCTCCGTTTGTTTAACCTAATCCGCCATGCTAATTATGATTGAGCTCCTTTAGTATACACTTTACCCACATTATACTTACTGAGTAAACGTGTACCGTGCTATCGTAATGTCGTCATATTTAGACATTTCAGGCGATAAACTTGTAGACATAATGTTCAAAATTATTTCATTTGGATATTTTAATTAAATTAAAAGCCGATGCAGTTGGATTAATTTAAGTCGTGCTAATACCAATTGATTTTCTCATTTTCATATAATCGAAACTTTGATATTTTTAATGAGTTCAAAAGTGTTGTGAAAGTCAATTTTAAAATGATGAAGTGTCTTCTGAAAGATTTAGCACCGCGAATTTGTGAATGTATGGACGTCATTAAATTAATACTACCATATATTATGAAATTCCTGAAAAGGAATTAAAATTTAACGAAACGCTAATTCAGGATCCCCATAAAAAACAATTTCGAGAAGCTCAAATGATTTGATCAGTAACTCAATAGAATTTTCCCGTTAAATCTAATTTTCTATGACAGCATATGTGCAATTAAGATTCACTCACATTTTACCTCAAATTGGGAAGACAATGGAGCATACTTTGTAGAGTCAGCGAAGAGAAATGCTATGATTTCAACCTAATGATTTGTTTACTAAAGTAAATATTCACACCATATGTAACGAATATCACTATTTTGATATATATATAGTTATATTAACATATTCATATTAATGTTCATATAGATACATTTTGAAATTAAGTCGAATTAGTAAACCTGATTTCGTCATTAGAATATACAAACTGAAACATACACTCTGGGCAACGTATCCTCATACTTCAATAAATTTTTTCACTGACGGTTGACTTCTGACTTCAAACTATTATCATATTCGACAACTTCCACAGTATTCAACTTTCCTTTTTCTCTACCTTTGTGTCTGTCTCTTTGAAACACTCTCCTGTCCACACCCTGCTCAACTTTCTTTCACTTTGATGTTCCTGCTCCGTTGTGGAGCCTGCAGTCAACTAAAGGGCTAATGATAACTATCAAAACACCTGCCATTTGATGTAAATATTTAATGAATATCTACCAATACACATATATGTATAAATGTACATGTGTTTATTCATGTATTTATATTGAGCTAAGACTTAATGTCAGAAATTTCAGAAACAGATTACCTTAATGAAACCATTCGCCATCATACGAAGGTTAGTATTGTTCACAATCTTGGTATGAAATGGCCACTTCGTATGACTTGAACGGTTCTTCAATAGTTTATTGATGTTCTCTCATAATTGTTTGTCCTTTGTTTCTTCCTCACCGTACTCTAATGGATTTCAGTGAAATATAATTTTCACTGCGAAATCACGATGGGGACTGTTTTGATTTATTAGTCTCTCTCAACTGCGTGGTTTTTCACCTTCCTGCAAAGTTTTGGCGTTATCGTCGAATGCTATTGGCAAATTGAACAAGTTTCATACGAAAATTGCGCCTTCCCTTACGTGACTAATACAATGGAGCTTAATCTGAAAGAGCACCGTTTGGTCATAAGGGCTTTAAATTGTTGGTATACTTATCAGTTCATTCCAATTTTTTGTGCTTCTTCGACATCTCAGCCATATGAAGAAGGACAACGAAGTCAAACCAATTTATTCGGAAGGTAATAAACATATGTATTACTCCAACGTTATAGACACTATTTGTTGGTGAGTGAAGAGTTATTGTTGTCAAGTCTGCATAAAATCATCCTTATATTCAATCACAGCGATACCCTACCATACATGATTCTGAAGGAGGGAAGCCGGGGTTTATTCGTACGGTGTCTTTGAAACCAATTGTGATGATTCTCATGTCATTGTGGAAGGTGACAATTTGCTACATAGAGTCATGACAAAAGGAAGTAAAATGACCAAACGCTGCTACGCCATATAAGCAAACAGTTCTGTGAGAGTTCTGTGATATAGGTTTCAATATGACCCAACGTTATGACTATCGATGTCCATATTAGAACCATTGTGTTGATGCAACCTCTGTGGTTCTAACTGCTCCTGAAATGTAATGCACCACCAATTTCGTGTAGTAAATTGATTGAGTCAAATGGTGTAGAGTCAACAAGACAGGTTCGTGTTTAGCCTCAGACCGAAACTCTTGTAACCAATCCATTGGAAACGCCATTCTTGATATAAGTTAAATATGACGCAATTAATTAACTAGTCAAGGTGAATATTGCTCGACTCATGTGCCTCTCGTCCAATCACGTAACTTCAAGACTCCCAAATGAACACAACTGAGTGAATGATATCAAATGCAATTGATTCACCTATTTTTGCAGGAGCAATATTTCATGAGTTGGTTCTTTTCATTCCCAAAATGCCAATGGTGAATGAGAAGTTAATGGGACAGTATGCTGAATCAACGAAGTCAGAAACTGAATGTAATGGTGGGCAACCCCACACTTCATGCTCTGAACAAACACGGCGAATGCTTCAAAGCCTGCAAAATGAGGCTTTAGTTCCAAAGTGACTGAAGCTCTTAAGAATTTGTTGAATCTGGAATGTTCCCAGTGGACCTAAAAGAAGAAGTTGTGCATATGCATGGATTTTACTCTTCTTCACGAATTTCCATTGGATACTGTTGGACAAAATGTGTGTATGCAAATGTGCGGTCACTGCCATTATCATCTTATAGAACAGTTTTGGCACAGCACTAATTCAAGCAGATTTTGAAATGATCGTCTTCTTGCCATCAATATCGTCTTTGGCTTAATTGACTTCCAGGTCAAGCAACTGCACAAAATTGACCAACAAAATCTCAAATGTGAGTTTACTATTTTTCAGCCATTCCCGTTCATGACCTAAGAGACGAATATCGGTTACCGTAAATTGTGATCTCACATTCCATCTACTTTTGCACAGTGAAGAGAACACAGGGGTTTGCATAGACGAAGGAGGACGAGTAATTTGCTTTAGTTATGTTAATTATTACAACAGGAGCAATGGTAATGTGATGAAAGAGAAGAAGAAGAATATGAAGAAAATGAAAGGGAGGAATGTGGATTGAGAAGTTACTCAAATGAAAGGAGTGAGTAGAGGAGGAGCCTGACTGACTCAGAAATCTCTATGGCAGATTCTCAAACATCTAGCTATATTCCCAGAACCAGCTAAGCTATAACCCAGCTATAAGGGCAAAAGACGTGTAGCATGGAGCACGTTTATTCAGTACGTGTATCGCGGATGAAGTGTAACGCAGGAAACTTAATCATAATCAGGATGGCAGATTAGGTTAAACAAACAAAGGTTAATGGTTGGTCACTGTTTGTAAGTTCGCACCTCCCAATCCTGGTGTGCAGGCATGCGATGACGTGTTAAGCTATGACGTGTCCCACACATAGACGAAGGAGGACGAGTAGTTTGCTTTAGTTATGTCAATTATTACAACAGGAACAATGGTAATACGATGAAAGAGAAGAAGAATATGAAGAAAATGAAAGGGAGGAATGTGGAGTGAGAAGTTACTCAAATGAAAGGAGTGAGTAGAGGAGGAGGAGGAGGAGGGGTAATAACAATTAAGTGCACTCAATTCATCCGTCTTAATCTATTTCGACATTGTGGACAAAGGAAATTGCGAGCACTGTTAAGTGAACTATAGAGTTGATCTGACTCCAGAGGTTCTAGCTTTTCCTAAAATGTAAGGTTATTTAAAGTGAGCATCATAACAAACCTCTTCCACAATTGCACCACCAATTTCGTGTAGTATATTGATTGAGTCAAATGGTGTGCGGTCAAGAGGACACGTTCGTTTATCTTCAGACCACTTCTTGATGCAATCGTAACAGAAGATGTGTTCACATCCACCTAGCATTCCGATTGAGGCTTTCATTTCCCCCAGACATATGGAGCACTGATTTGTAGCTGGCATGACCCTGGGTATAATGTCAAATGTGGTGCCAGGTTTCATTACACTTAAACAAACATAATCNGAAGTTGAACCCACCCTAAGCAACTAATCTCACTTATGTGAATAAAAAATGAGCCAAATTTGTGCCTTTTTACAGCTATCCATCCATTCATGTTTGTGAGATCGGTTATTTTATAATTTGTGAAGAACGTCTCAAACGGAATTTCACCAATGCTCTTCTTGACCAGTTCTGGACAGTTCTAATGCCAATCAAGTCAATGGGTATGGCTTCTGACTATGCTTGCTTCGTCTTTCTATTTGGCAATTAAAGCGAATCTGATTTAATTTCGTTTTATATAGTGACCCAAGAACTACATTTCCTTATCTGAATTGCGCACAATTCTGTGACAAATGCTTACCTCTTTCATCAATATTTTCATTAAACTAAGATTTTTTGGTCATTTAAGGCGACAAAGCAGAAGAACGTGCTCTTGAAGAGAATAAAATTGATCAGGGTGAATGTTGCTCGACTCATGTTCCTCTCGTCCAATCACGTAACTTCAAGACTGCCAAATGAACACAACTGAGTGAATGATATCAAATGCAATCGATTCACCTATTTTTGGTGGAGCAATGTTCATGAGTTGGTTCATTTCATTCCCAAAATGCCAAAAGTGAATGAGGAGTTAATGGGACAGTGTGTTGAATCAACGAGATCGTAAACTGAATGTAATGGTGGGTAACCTCACACTTGAATATCCACCAATACACCTATGTGTATAAATGTACATGTGTTTTTTCATGTATGTATATTGGGCTGGGACTTAATGTCAGTAATTTCAGAAACAGATTACGTTAATGAAACCATTCTCCATCATATGAAGGTTAGTATTATTCTCAATCTTGATATGAAATGGCCACTTCAATATCATATTGATGTTCTATCATAATTGTTTGTCATTTGTTTCTTCCTCACGGTACTCTAATGGATTTCAGTGAAATATAATTTTCACAGCGAAATCACGATGGGGGCTGTTTTGATTTATTAATCTCTCTCAACTGAGTGGTTATTCACTTTCCTGCAAAGTTTTGGTGGTATCGTCGCAAGCTTTTGGCAAATTGAACAAGTTTCATACGAAAATTAAGCCTTCCCCTTCGGGTCTAATGCCAATCGAGCTTATTCTGGAAGTGACCCGTATGGTCATAAAAGCTTTAAATGCTTGATATACTTATCAGTTCGTTCCAATTTTAAGTGTTTCTTCGACATCTCAGCCATATGAAGAAGGACAACGAAGTCAAGCCAATTTATTCAGAAGGTAATAAACATATGTATTACTCCAATGTTACAGACACTAGTTGTTGGAGAGTGAAGAGTTATTGTTGTCAAGTCTGCATAAAATCATCCTTATATTCAATCACAGCGATACCCTACCATACATGATTCTGAAGGAGGGAAGCCGGGGTTTATTCGTACGGTGTCTTTGAAACCAATTGTGATGATTCTCATGTCATTGTGGAAGGTGACAATTTGCTACATAGAGTCATAACAAAAGGAAGTAAATTGACCAAACGCTGCTACGCCATATAAGCAAACAGTTCTGTGAGAGGTAATTCAAAGTGTCATCGGTGGAATATCCGATCTTAAGAGGCATTAATGTATCAACAAGACAATGAAATGTTACAGGGGCGCATAGCTGTGATTTTATGATGTCACCCATTCAAAGTCATTTTTTAGCACAGAGGCTCAACTGACAGTTAATTTGCTTACTTGAGACTTAGTCATTTGAAGGAGTGTGCTTTTTGGTTGATTCTGGGTAATGTGAAATGTGAAAGACTACAAATCTTGGATGCCAATATCACCAACTACAATTTTCAACTGACGATAAGCAAACAAAATGAAATTGGAAAATCAACTTGAGAATAATATTATTTCAAAAAACAGATTTAATGATATTTATCATCAGCCCCTCAGTTGGCTTCAGCTTTTCCCTTGGGTAGGGGGTACATATATAGCAGTACATAAGCTGTCTTCTTGCTTCCCAGCATCTCTGGCTTTCCGTCGTTGTCTTTAGGGCTGGCCACCGAATCAGGTGAGCCTTCTCCACTGCCTCATATAGGTAACATAGAGGTTGGGGTATGTTGGTTGAGTGTTTACTCCCAATCTGTGAAGTTGTTTTGCCAGGCAATCGTGTCCGGTACGTAGTCAAAACTCAGCAACGGCTCTGTCCGATACGTAGTCTAAACTCAGCAACGGCTTCGATTCTCGTAGTCGGCTATGTCGGAGAGTGCCACTGTCCACTGTTTCTCTTTTGTTGTTTAAGTTCGTTGCACCTTGAGATCTTGAATTCTCTTCTGATCGGGAGAGTGCCACTGTCCACTGTTTCCCCTTTGTTTCCACTGTCCACTGTTTCTCCTTTGTTCGAGCTTTGAGTTCGTTGGTAACATGAATTCTCTCCTGATTAAGGCCTTCATTGTGTGGATTTGAATTCTCTTCATTGTGTGGAATGATAACGGCCGTTCCATGCATTACAAAATTGTTGTCCCCTTCTTAGCAAGTGTGTCAGCAAGCTCATTGCCTTTAATGCTACAGTGACCATGAATCCATTGTAGGACCACTGTTTTGTTATTCTCTCTCAGTAGCTGATAGAGTTTTCTACATTCGTACATCTCATCTCTTTTGGGTGTCTCTCTGTTCCAATTTGAGTTTATTGCTGACTATGAGTCCGAAAGTATCATCGCTTTGGTGAATTTCGTATCGAGGCAACATTATTGGCATATTGCTACCCTTATGGCCTCTATTTCTCCTTCAAAAGCGGATCTATTGCGTTCCGCTGCTGCGTAGGAAGAGAAGAGTTTAGAATAGACACCTGCACAAATATTTACATGGTTTTCTAGGTAAGGCCCATCAGTGAAGCCTTGGAGCCTTTGATCTGCAGGATAGTTGACAATGATTGTCTCAAGGGCCAGTGAGCGCAATTGTTCTGGAGGGGTGTTTGATTTCCTAAAGTAGTCAAGCAGTTGGATGCTAATGGGTTTATGGGTAGAGGGAGGCTTTTTGGTTCGTCATCGATTTGTAATGCTTTCTTACATTCTATGGCTTTCTGTATTAGATCAGATTGCGTTTTTCAGATCTCTAGGTCTATTCTCCTAGGTGCTGAACAATTTATTCATG